CCCCCACACACACACACACACACACAACCAGAAATAGGCACAGGACCCAGGCCTGGTCAAGATGCTCTATCTGCCATGGACCATTTGATTGGCCCAAGATAGAGACATGAGCCATGTGTTTGGCCCCATATTGGCCAATACTAGCCATTCAGAGTTCTCCATGGAGTCTTCTGCCAAAACTGTCAAGAAAGCCTCTCTTTTCTCAGAACTGGAGCTATCTGGGACACTCTTTCCCACAGAGAATATAGTCTGTCACAGACTAAGGCCAATACCAAGACAACCAGAGTTCACAATGAGAAGCCAAGGGAAAAAGGGAGAAAAGCTCCAAGAAATATAAAGATATCTTTTGAGCCACCAGGTCCTACCATTGCTTCCACACCTTAGACTTACCAATTATTAGGGGCAAATGAATGCTTTTGTCCCCTGTAAACTCTTCCGAATTGTCCTCTGCCATTGTAAGAGAGTGTCCCAATGCATACAACTCCACTACTGAGAAACTTTTAAATTCATTAAAAGTTTGTAATAAAACAAACCAACCCAAAGTTCTCAGCATAATTATCAAGTTATCTACAAAAGGGGCCATCTCAGCTTTCCACCTACCCCCAGCATTATTGACTTCTTTCGAATATTGCTGTTGCTGTTAGATGCCATCAAGTCATGTCCAACTCATAGCGACCCTGTGCACAGCAGAAGGAAAACACCACCCGATCTTGTGCCAGCTCCATGATCCTTGCGATACTTGAGCCCACTGTTGCAGCCAATGTGTCAATCCACCACATTAAAGGTCTTCCCCTCTTTTATCAACCCTCTACCTTACCAAGCATGACATCCTTCTCCAGGGAATGGTCCCTTCTGACAACATGACCAAAGTAGGTGAGACGAAGTCTGGTCATTCTCACTTCCAAGGAGCTTTTCGGCTGCACCTCCTCCAGGACAGATCTGTGAGTTCTTTTAGCAGTCCATGGTACTTTCAGCATTCTTTGCCAGCACCACAACTCAAAAGCATCAACTCTTCTTTGGTCCTCCTTATTCATTGTCCAGCTCTCACACGCATATGAGGCAATTG